CCGGAATGGCATTGCGGATATCATGCTTTCAACTGAAGCGGTGGTGGGCGAGATAAAACAAACACGAACCATAAGGGAATACGATTACTACGTATTCCAAGCCTTGGTAAAAATTGGACTGCGAGGAGCCGCTTGTGCGACCCGAGTGGAGTTCCTGAGCTCCGAGCTGGCAGAGCCACCATGTTGAACCTGGCAGGGCATGAAGGGGGCCCAAGTGCCTAAGTCCTAAGCTCAAGAGGTCCCCCACCTCTCACGAGAGGTGCACCGTAATCCGGAGACCGAAGTCTTCGAGTCTGTAGTTTGACATTGTTTACGGCTTGGGCTGCTTCTGATTGTGTGATTGTAGTTTACGTGCCAAGACAACGGCAGAGGGCCGCACCTGAGGCCAAGTCGCCACCAGAGAGTAGAGATGTCCACCGACCTGCTACGACTGCAGAATCAGATCCTACAATCCCATCGTGTCTGTGAGCTGCTGCGAGGGCACAAAGCATTAACACTAAGGGCCTGCTCGCCTTCAACAGAGCATGACAGCTTGGCGAACGAAACTGGTGCAAACCACATAAGTCTAGAGTAGCAATTTGGAGATGCTCCTAGATTTGCACTTGATCTATTCCGAACACAGTGCTCCACGTTAGAATTGGGTCCCGAAAGACATGCGAACGGAAGTGCCACCACTGCCCCGAAAGGCGCACCGACTTGTTGTAGAAGTCTTGGTCGTAGGAGACCGGGAACCACTCTTGGTGCCTAGGTTTGGATGATTTTGGATGGGCTCACATCCGGGGGCCTGGAGGAAAGGTCGGGAGTCTAGTCCATCTCATGCGCAAGCCATTCAGGGTTGATTGCAGCGAGCCAGACCTCAAAAGTTGATCTTCGTGCTCTCGCGATCATGATCAGGAAATCAACGCGTATTATCGAACGCCATCTTCACACCTCTGACTTCCCTGACACCATTGTCGCCATGACCACCCACTGCCAGCACTACTAGCACCACCAACCCCATCGCCGTCACAACCATCATCAGCAGCAGCAGCAACAGCAACGGCAACAGCAACAACAACAGCGGCATGCCAGGCCAGTTTTTTGATTGCATCAGAGGTTGTTATGACTGCGTGACCTAGCCTCGCGGGCAGTGCACAGCCTACGCACACTGCCATCCTCTTCGGACATCCGAAAACACCTCACAGCATACCATGTTGTCATATATGGCAGTATTAGTCTAGCACACTATCCTGTCAGTATCATAATGTCTTTATGGTTCTGCACGAGGGTCTTGAATCATGTCAGCCGGAGTCAGATTCGCAGCTACTGCCCTCGGGCACTGACAAGGCCATCATCTCGTCCATATCTTCCGCCTGTGACGGAAGCAGAGCTTGCACATCTGCGAAACTCCTTCAAGATGTGTGACCAGCCATGCGCATCCAAACTCTCAAGCAGTCTTCGCTGCAGCCAAGCAATAGTTACACACCTTGAATCGGCAGAACATCTGCCACAGGGCCTAGACCTCAAGGAAAAATCCCCGAAGCCTTCAACTTGGGAATCTTCGTGCTCGAACCATGGAACCCAGTAGAAGATGAGACAAGAGAAGGCAATCAAGAAAGAGAAGATCAAAGTGGGGCAAAGCGACGCCCTGCAACGATGTCAGCCTCCACTCCTACTCCTACTCCTACTGCTCCTCCTAATCCTTACTCCCACTCCCACTCCGACTCCTCCTCCTCCTCCGCTCCCACTCCCGCACTCCCGCTCCTAGTCCGAGTCCTGTGCTCCTGTGCTCCTGCGCTGCGCTGCTCTTCCTACTCCTCCTACTCCTACTCCTAATGCGAAAACCACTACGACTGCCAATGCGACTGCTCCTCCGCAACAATACAAATGACAGACAAACTACAATGATAACAATGTGCACATCATTCGTCGTCCAGTCTGCGGATTTTACAACAAGGCTTCTGAGGTGTGCATCAGTCTCAGTGGGGAGGTTTCGTGCTTGGGGGAACCCCGCGCGTGCCTGCAGAGGGCGGTAGTGGATGTGGCTCAAAGGGATCGCAGCCTTTGCCCAGGCTGATCGCAAGAGCAACTCACGCTGTAGTCTTATGGCGACCAGAAGTGTCAGATTCCTTGCTGTGATTCCGGCATTGGTAGCTAGTTGTCAGTGGAGGACATTCTTGCTAGCGGACCTTTATCTCCACTGCCAGGCTCTTAAGTACCCACGTTTCCATGTAAGTCGTTGTAGTCACCACTATTGATCACCACTATTGATACCAAGACACCATTAATCCTGCCATGACTCCTTAGTCTGCCTGTTACGATTCTATGACATTGCTACTGTCCCTGCTACTGCTATGGCTACTACTGCCGGTACTCGTCCTAGTGCTGCTACTGCTACTGCTGCTACTGCCCCTTCAACTGCTGCTGCTGCTGATGATGCTACTGCGACCCCCCTCCCACGACACACAAATATGACCCGACTTGTTTAATATGGGGCTTCTACTACCCTACCTCAAGTCTTGCTTTGAGGCGGGTTGGGGCGGGCTGAGATACCTCTGCTGCATCTTTGGCTTTGTTTGTTTGTGTGTCTCTGTGTGTGTGTGTGTCACGTCCAAAAAACTGTAGGGAGCAGATGGTGGCTTGGGATGCTGCAGTACTCCGGCTAGGAAGAAAAGTTCCAGAAGTTAGACGCTGGGTTAACCTGCTGCTTTTTTGGGCGATCGGTAGACCCTTCGCGAACAAGCTTGTAATACCTTGGGGCGCTGGCCGCATCCTCGGCAGAGAAGCGACGGTGGACCTTCGCCTGTTCAAAGGCAAACCTGTCTATGCGGCAGCCCCTAGGACACGAAGCGAGAAAGAGCCATCGTTAAGGTTTGCCGTGTTCCATGTCATATCTGAGAGGCTCGGGAAAATCCAAGAATACTCAAATCAGGTCATCTGCCAGCAGATGCATCCGGCAGGCTGCATGCCTTACAAATTACAAGTACGCACAGATCCCTGGACACGAGACGCTTCGAGCCTGCCGAATCCTACCCCCACAAGCCTTAGCAGAAACCCCAAGCCTCCCCCCTCAAAAAACAAACCCCTAAACCCCCAACCCCTGAACCGTGCCGTCAGTCTCGGCACTGTGTCGGCCATGGGGTCTGGCATGGCAGAGGACCTGCTTTGCGGCGCTTTGGTGCTTTTCACGGAGAGTTCGAAGGGCCTCGATAAACAGAATACGGTTTGGGGGGTATATGAAAGCATAATTGTTTAAAAGCTGAGGAACCCGAAGAGAGAGGAGACAAAGTTTTGAGGCTTTAGAGATTAAAGCTTAGGGTTTAGGGCTTGGGGCCGGGGTTTAGGGCTCAGGTTTAGGAGTGTTTGTCAGTTGTTGATATTGTCTCCTATGGTTACTGTACTCTGACCAGGGGCGGGTTCAACGCAAAGGCTTCTGTAGGTTTGGCCTCCGCATGCGTTTCGATGTTTGCGGCCCTCCACATCCCCACATGCGAGCAACGATCCCGCCGCACCTTACCTGTGTGGAGGCTGAAACCCTAGACTTAAGACCCCACACCCTAAATCCTCAGACCCGTATTCGTACCCTCATAGTAACGCCAAGCCTTCTCGTGCCCTAACCTCGGAACCTTGATCCAGACCACAAAAGCGAGCAGGCCGGACGAGCTCTTCGGCATGAGCTCCTCTGCTGGGTCCTTTCTGCAATCATAGTGGTTTAGGGTTTAGGGATTTTGGGTTTAGAGTTTAGGCGAGAGACAGAGAGGAACTGCAAAGGTGAGGCCAAGCACAGGTACTGGGTCATCAGATGTTTTGGGTCCTCCTCCATTGCAGTGCGCGCGGAATGCGTCTCCATAGCGGCAAGCAGGGATCCCTGCAAACACGTATCTGGGCGAGGGCCTGTGGGTCTGGAGGCTTAGGCTTCCCGTTTATTGCGGATCTGTGCCTCGGGGAGCAAACACAGGCATCATGCCAAATTAGGTGGTAGGACTCCAGGCTGCGGGAACAAATCACCCTGTCGGGCTCGTGGGGAAGACTGGAACGCTCTGCCGGTTGCTGTCAGAATGAAGCAATGCTTCGGCTGAGGCCAAAACACGGCGTGAGAATTTGCAACGGTCCATCTGCCCCTGGTCTTCTCCCTGCCCGAATGTTGAACCGCAGAAGCTCTCATCAAAATGAAACCTCGGGGAATGCACTCCGATTGTTACATCCCAGGAAGTGTCCAAGCCAACAAAAAAGCGCATGCTGATCCATTAGGACAAGCGGAGTGATCCATGCGTTTGTTCCAGCGGTGTTCAACCCTGCACGGAAATCCAAACTTAAACTGCTCGCATCAGTTATTCGATCAAGTTGTGTACTTGCTTGGGCTTCTTGTGCCGGCTTGTAAGGTTGCTCTCTTGGTTCATTCATGCGGTCGTGCGTGCAACGGCAAATCCGAAAGAATCCCAGTGAAGTTCAGATGAGCCAACAGCACCGTACCAAACACTCTACCAGACAAGCCGAAATCGAGCGTCCACAACATGCCGTCTTTTTGACCTGGCGGTCAAAGGGCGCCGAGCTCACCACCATGGAAAAGTGTGGGTGATCTCTTTCTCGTGTCTTCCCGCTCTTCGCGGCAGGGGTGCCGTGGATCAGGGGGAAGCAGGACTTCAGGTTCGGGACGACTTCAGGCTTTGATGAGGTCCTTAAGGAGGAAGGGCAGAGGCGTGGTTTTGACAAGCCTGCTGTACTACAGTGACTTTTGGCTTCATATTCGGGGCTGCAGGGTCGCAGGTTTGGGCAGAAAGCTCAAATGGGTGATTCAAAGTCACAAAGTCGGCAGAGGCAGCAGCTCCAGGAAAGAGGGGACCTTGACCCTGATTAAAGTTGCGTGCCGCTATTGTGTTCGCCATTTTTCCTTTCCAGGGATGAAATTTTGATGACCCTGTCTTGGCTGAAGTCTTTGGGTCCATCTAGGATTGGGTTTTTCTTGAAGTTCCTGAAGCCGCCAACATGCGTGAGTGCTAGGGCCGCTTCAGGCGTCCAGTCTAGCGGCCTGCAGATCGGGGCGAATCTTCCGAGCTTTGTGTAGTATGATGTTACCTTTACATGCAAACCGGTAACCATGGCTCAATGACAGTCATACGTAGGTCAAGGTCCGGTGCTTCTAATAAGGGTGAGAACAATGCCTGAATTCCTCAAACGACCTCAGAATATCCCAGAAGACATGGGACTTACGTTGCGTAAACTAGCAGCGGAGACATTTTGAGAACTGGAATTGTTGCACTTTTTTGTAGGTACAGGCTTGTACCAGATGACTTTGGTGACGAACGCCACCGCCGCCACCACCACGTCCCACAACCTTTACTGCCTCTGCTACCCCACTACTACCACTAAAACTACCACTCCCCACCCACTACCAGTACCACTACCACTACTGCTACTACTGCCACTACCACTTCCAACCACTACCACCACCACCGCCGCCACCACCACCACGACCACCAACTCGAACACTAACAGTACCACGTCACTACCACTCACTACCACTACCACCAGCACTTACCACTCACCACCACAACGACTGTGACGACTACGACGACGACGACGACGACGACGCCGTCTCCTCCTCCGGTGCTGCTGGTACTGATAGAGCTACTGCTACTACCACTACGACTATGACATTGGATATTCCCGAAACGCGACCCCAAAATCTATCTTGACTCGCAAGCGGCCTGCACCGCCCTGGGTGGCTGTGAGGTCTCCCACGTCCCCGCCATATTGGGAAGAGAAACCTCGCCAAGGCTTGAAGATGGACGACTGATTGAAAGCAGATGGACGGTTTCTTAGGATCGAAGGCAACGTGTGGGCCTCTGTTGAGGCCACTTGTGGTCCGCCAACCCTGGCTTGGCCGTCGTTGCACCGAGGCTTCAGAAGCTGGATTGGCTTTACCATCGGCATGGACACCCGCAAAGACGTCGACCGCAAATGCCGCCACACGTTTCAAGCTAGACGAATCGGGGAGGAAAGGATTTACGGGCTCGAGGGAAGAATCCAAGATTTCGGCACCGTCCAGGGGCTTGTCGTCCGAGACAGACGGTTCGGCCGGTGAGCTAGAGGTTCGGGCTCAGGATTCCGCTTCGTGGGTTTTTGGTCAGGATGATTTGAAGGTTCATGTGCCCGGCTGCATTGCCTAAGGCTCCCACGGATCAGGGACATCACCAAACTGCAGAGCGACCTCAAGCATCATTCACACATCCCCCCTGCCCCTGCCAAGAATCAGAGCAAACCGAAGCCCTGCGTTCGCTTTGCTTGTTGACACTCTTCTTGATTTTGCTAGTCTTAACGTGCTCGTGCGGATGATCACGATGGACCACGATGGTGCCGATGATGATGGCAATGAACAAAGGGCGGGGATGGTGACGATGATAGTGATGGCGGTGGTGGTGCTCCTGGTGCTGGTCATGGTCATGACGACGAAGAAGATGATGATGGCGATGGTGATGGGGATGATGGGGAAGATCGGAATGATCGGGGATGGTGGTGGCGGTCGCGGTGGCGAAGATAAGAACGATAGCTGCGACCATGAAGATGGAGAGAAGAATGATGACGAAGATGACCGACCAAAACAACCATCTCAGCTGCTACAGCTGCTGACGACGACGACGACGACTACTGCCACTATTACTTGGCAATACTGCTGCTGGTGCTGCTGCATACTGGTTCTGCTGCCACTGCTGCTACTGCTAACTAGCGCTACTGCCACCGCCAGCTGCAGCTGCCACTCATGTTTAGATGATTACCCCATACCTTCAACCCTGACTCACGTCGGCGCTAGCTCCTGAGGTTTTGGAAGCAGCGAGGCGATGAACATGGGCGACTAGTTGTCATTTCTTCGAGCGGAGGTTGTTTTTCGGATAACACTTAGGCAACACCCGATCTTTGAAGAGTGAGTTCGGCAATGTGTGGTTCGCCGAGGTGTAGAAGGACATGAGTCTACAGGAACGTGTTTTGCACTTTGCGCTCTGGAAAGCACATGGTGTGACAATGCGCACAAAACGAGTAAACACCAGCACTAAAGGTATGATCGATTCGCGAATGCCTTCAGTCCCCTCTGCCCCCTCGCCCAACCCAACGCATTTCCACCGTTTATACTCCTGATCTTACTGTAGTTGAGGTCTCTTGGGCCGCGGCCAACACATGGCAAAGCAAATCCCGAAGCGAAGTGCCTGCAGACCTCGGCAAGTGAGTCTCCATCCCTCACAGACATTGAAGAATCTAGGAGGTTTACACTGTGCAACTGTGCAATGAAACATGGAAAAGAAACTCGGTGATTCTTTGGAGGCTTACGCTGGCAGACATGTCCTTGCCTACAATATGCAAGTCGCAAGCCCGCGGGTACGACTCGAAGCAATGCCTGAAAGAGCTGACATTGAATAGGAGCCCCAGGTCCCCAACCGACAGGTATAAGTGGGGAAGGTCTCCTGTTCCTGAGACCCCAAACCCCACTGACTTCATTCAGTTGGGTGTCTTTTTTGGGAGCCGATCCGGCCCGAGGGCGCCACTGTCCTGGTGCATGTCCAAGATCGCTGATCTGAGAGCCTCCTGAAGGTCTTTCGGGATGTGGAGTCTCGGTTCGATGGATGTTTTGGAGCACCGAAAGCACCGTAGGCAGCATGAGGATCATTCTCCAAGCCATTGGTGACCAGTAGTCTGGGTCTCAGGATCAGGATCCTACTCCTCAGGTGATGGGTTTCGCACGCAGTGCTTCAGGGTTAAAATCCGCCATCGAAATCCCTCGGCTTAGGGCTGAAATGTGCCATGTGCGACCTGCATCCGCTGATGCCACGGGCGAGCAGGTGCGCGGCCCTGCAAAGTGGTGATATTGGTAGAAAGCCAGCTGAGTGCATTCCCTGCTCCAGCCTGCTGTGCCTGACTCACAGAATGCGCTTCGAGATAGAATACAACATAATATGTAATTATATAGTATACCATGATGATATAACAAAACATAATAAAAAAAAAAAAAGCTGTACAATGATGTAAGGCGGCCTCACGCTGCATCAGCCGGATGGCTCTCAGCACATCGCTCTTTCCGCGACGGCCTCCTGCTTTAAAGTGCTTACACATATGTTCGCACGAGTTAGCAAATGTCCAGCAAATTCCTGTTGTCGATCCGCATTTGCGAAGCACCCACCTTGTACAAGCTATCTTCATTCGCGCCATAACTTGAACAATTCAATGGCTTGTCTGTTGGGCCTTGAGGTCAGCTCCTTGCGCATTGTAGGAGTCAGGTTCTTAGGGATGCCATGTTTCATCCGCTCACAGGCTGGAGGCAATTTTTGTAGTGGGGGGCTCGAGGTACTTCCCGGCTCTTCCGCCTGGTCGGTCTTTATCCCGCCGCTTCTTGTGGCGGCGACCTCGCGAATGGAAGTTCGAAGAACAGGGCTGCTAGGCTGAGGGGGCTTCTTTAGACACGCAGCCAGCCGCCACGGTCTTCGAAGCGTGAATCTGCATGACCCTCTTATGATCTTTGATGCGATGCTGTAGGCGTAGAAACTGTCGACGAGAGTTGACAGCTACTGCAGCCGTGCGTCGTCTCAGGTTCGTCTCATCTTCGCCTTCCTGGCAAGAATGACCAGGCCCCTCGCAAGGGACAGAAACCTCTCTGCGGCATGATGAACCCGTTCAGTGGCAAGCGGGCGTAGACCCTTCAACGGCCCTCCTTTTCCACGGCGGCTCTCGAAGTTCTCGTGCTGAGCTTTTCTGGTTCAGAGTGGGGTCCATTTAGGAATTCCCGCTTCTGTCAGGATTCCAGTAGGGTTCTGAGGTTTCAGGTCTTGGCTTGCCCACCTCCTCGGACACGTTCATGGCCTCAAGGGCCTCTCGGCGTATATAGGCCAAGAGCAGTTGGTGAAGGGAGGGCGAGTAAGCTCAGGCTTTTGGGACAAGCTCTGCTTCAGACTTGAAGACTTTGAAATTCCCGGCTCAATCCACTGAAGATTGAATTGCCGGCTAGTGAGATACCGAGGATGGCCTGCACACGAACAGGTTTGCATCTGACGAGAATTTAAGAGGCGAACTTGGGCCATCGTGTTTTGCAGCAGCGTGAGCGGACGAATCTACTCGAAACATCCAAAGGCAACGGACTTTGTTTGTGCGCCAGGCTGCCAACAGAAGAATGGTTGTTTCCACCTAAACAAAGCTCCTTTAAAGGAGGGCCCCCCTTCACGGAAGAGTCCTCGAAAAGCCCTAATTATGTTGCGGGTCCGTTGAACATTTCAGGGATCGAGACCCTGGACAAAGACTCTCAAGCTTTGGCTTCGAGAATTCAGGGTCGACCTGATCGTTTTCGAAGTGCGAGCTCAATGTCTTAATAATAGTAACAATAATAATAATAATAGCAACAAAAGTAACAATAATAACAGTAGACCCCTGGATGGCACCTGATTACAACGACCCCCTGGCCCGGCGGGCTGAGCCTCCTGTTCGCTGGAGGTCGGAGGCCGCTGCCTTCAAAGTCCGGAAGAGCTCAGAGCTTCGGTAGAAGTGAGCCTTTGGGTCAAGAGTTTAGGGTTTAGGGTTTAGAGTCTAGGGGAGTAGGTCCCTAAACCATAAACTCCCCACAACCCTGTCGGAGGTATATACCTGGAATCGAGAACCGACACCCTGAACGAGCCCTTCCTTGGAAGCCCGAAAACTCCCTAGCTGCGACGCCCTCTCAACCCTAATCCCCACTCCTAAGCCCTCAACAGCCCTCAATTTCAAAGAGGCCTCGAACCCGAAGCCCCCAAACCCCTAAACCCCAAAACCCTAAACCTGAGCCCAGCTCGGGTGCCGAGCCTCTGCATGTCAGGGCTTGGCTCCTCCTGGGCTGCCCGAATTCCGAAGATCTGGGGCCACTTCATCCGGGTGCTTGGGCTCAGGGGTTTCTTTTAGGCTTTAGCGGGTTTTGGGGTTCGGGTTTAGGGCTTAGTTTAGGGGTGTAGGGGTTTAGGGTTTCGGGGTTTTGGAGTTTCGGGTTTAGGGCTTAGTTTAGGGTTTGGGGTGTGAGGGTTTTGGTAATCCGAATCCCTGAGTGCAACCGGGTCACGGTGGGCTCCGCGACAACTGGCGACGACGAGCCAACAGCCTCAGCACATCACGGCTGACAGCTATGATGCTCCAAGATGCAAAATCATCTGAGCCCTTGCTTCTCTTCCCTGGCAGAAGCGGATGCCCGAAATGCCTACCAACATTCCTGCATGCACGGCAAGAGCGATCGGGAAGCTGAATCGAGCTGCTTATCTCCGCCGCAGCAGTATAAGAATTCCAAGACATGTAGCAAAAGGGGCATGAACGTGGATGAAAGAAGCGATGAACAAAAATAATCTGTGTCGAGAGACTCTCGGAACATTCCCCGGAACATCTTCAAATGTCTGTAGCTAAAAATGCATTCTTGGGCCGACTACACGTACGTCTCAATGCTCGCGACGAGCAGAGCGGCTCCACCCAAATCATCCAAGAACTTTGAATTTGACACGAACGACAAACTTCGAAGAGCCATCATGCAAAGTTTGTGCATGTTGTGGCACGCAGGTGCTGTCTGAGCTGTCCACGTGCCCTGAGGTGTTCATGGTGGTGGCAAGCACTTGCGCAGAAGGCGGACGGCCTGGGCGCACCACCACAGCCGAACACGAGACAACATCTCGCTAGCTAAATCGCTGGCACACATTAGCCTGTACAAGTCATTTGAAAGGCGGCTTGTATGACTTGCTGACACGGATACTTGCTTGACTCCCCCGCCAAAATTGCGAGGACTTGCTTCGGTCGGTGCTGCAGAGTTCTTGTGAAAGCATTACAACAGCGTGTACAGGCGGCTTTGGAAGTCTTGTGGCATCCTGAGTTTCGAGCCGGCCAGGAAAGTCGCCACTGCCTACAATGCACGGGACCGATTTGCAAGCAAAGGAGCCGTAGGGATCTCAAATTCCGGTTTGTGGACTTTCGTGACCTGGCCTGCATGAGTCGGAACTCCTTTCGGACTCATTACGATCTGCACTGATCACGTCTCTTACAGTATCTAATGACAAGGCTACAATGGTCGGTACAGCTGTTACCACTAATACACTTCCAGCTGGCTCTTCTATCATTCAAGCTGCAAAGCTCGCGTAGTTTTATGATAATAGCCTCACTATGAGTCGGACGGTATCATGGCCTGCGGCCTCAAGTAAGCGACAGCTTCGTTTCCGCACTTGCATTCGCAAGAAGACAGATCGAGCACGCCAGCATCCAGGCACTGTGTCTGAAGCAACGCAGCAACTCAGCATTTCACGGCCGGGATGCGTCAAAACATGCATCACACCCTGACCCCGCTGAAACAGCCCATGCGGCCGAAACCACTAAGGATCAGGCAATGTCTCATGCCCTTCCCGGTCTCGCTGCACTGGCTGAACTTCCGCTTCCACTGCTGCAGGGCAGGCACTTCTGCTGTTTCGGTCGGCTCTTCCGCCTCTGCCGTGACTGCAAGCGCTTCTGCTGCTTCAGTCGGCTCTTCCGTCTCTGCCGCTGCTACCGGCACTTCTGCTGCTTCGGTCGGCACGACTGCAAGCACTTCGGCTGCTTCAGTCGGCTCTTCCGTCTCTGCCGTTGCTGCCGCCTCCGCTTTAGCGCAGCTGGCTCAACCCTGTCTGCCAAGAGTTTTCGGAGAGAAATACAAGAAGCGTTGCACCGAAAGACGCAAGGAACGAGAGATGACGAAGGATCCCGTGTCTGCTGCAATCAGCGAGGACTTGCATGAGAGCCAAGGCAAGCATCAGGCGCTCCTCCTCTGGCTTCAGCATCATCACCCCCAGAGTTGCACGACACTATTGGTCACTTGCGTCGTCGCGGATTCCTGACCTGGCTTGCGCACATCGCAAGCATCCTGCTGCGCTGTGCTTCTGCAGCTAGATCCAGCCCGCCGGCCCATAGGAGCCGCGGATCATCGGGATCAGCACAAATATGCGACACCATGGCGCGACGCGGAAAAAACCTGCGTGTTCATGTTACTTGGTCATCTCATTCCAAAAATCATCGGCAGATGCTTGTGTGGACAAGCCGTTTACATACCAGAGAATCGTCGGCGAAGGCCATTGTCTAGTGCCTTCCCTTCTCGGATCCTGACTTGGACTATCAGATTCACTCTTCGGGACTGTTCTACAGCTGCCGGCCTTACAAGATCGCGACCCCGAGACCTGAAATCTTAGAGGGTAGACATCGGTCAACACTTGGGGCCTCCTCACGTGGAGCCAGGGGAGGTGGAGGCGCGGGAGGCGGCGGAGGTGGCAGAGCCTCACAGACCAGCTTGCCTAGGGCCTAGGTTTCTCGTTCATGTTCTCCCTGAAGGCCTGGTGCTGGGCTAGAAAGTTCGCAGGGGCTGCAGTGGCATTAGGGTTTGGTATTTAGGGTGTTAGCTGCTTCATCAGTGCTTCAGCCTAGCATCAGGGCCCGAGAATTGCAGCCGAAACTACAACAGAACCACGGGCCTTACACACCCTTAACCCTAAAGCCAAAGCTCTTAAACCCTAAACCCGAAAAACTATAAGCCTGGCCATCCCAGACGTCAGGCCCGAATTCCTGGAAACCATTGCACTTGGAAGCACTGGAATCCTTGCAACCCCAAAATCCCAATCCGAAAACCCTGCATCAAACGGAAGCAAAAACCGTCCGGGCCTGGACATGGAAGCTGCCGCTGACCATGCTGTGAGGCCAATCCTAGATCGGGGCTTCTAGGGGCTTTGGGGAGGCTGGCGATTTGGGCTTGAGGTTTTGGCCGGACTTTTGGGTGTTTTTTTGGAGTTGAGGGTTGGGCGTTGAGGATTTGAGGGCTAAGTTTGGTGCCCTCGTGGGTCTAAAGGTTTAGGCCTTCCCGTAAAGGACTTGAATCAGCTCCCCCACAGCCCGGCTACGCCCCAATCTCCTCTTCTTCTTCAAGTCTCTTCTCAATGCGGAGACTGTCGGACTCTGAGACGATTTCAGCGCGAGCCCATGCAGAGTTTCGCGTTGACGGATGCTACAAGCCTGACAACCCAAGATGCTATGCTGGCACACCATGGCCTGCATCATCATGCACTCGTCCATGTGCATCATGTGCCCCGGCATGGTGTCGCCCTGCAGGTCGAAAACTGTATAGCGCGCTTCAGGCTCGGAGTTCTGTGCTCTGCCTTATACCCTGAACCAGATGGATCTGTCACTTCCCTAAACCAAACTAAGCATCTGCAAAGAAGCCAGTTCAAACCGACGGGCACCTGGAGCATGCAGGCATCCTCGCGATGCGAGGGAAAAGCTGCGGCTTCCTCCAAAACACCTACATAGGCCTCCATCAGAAGGGCGCCGCACTAGCGCCCCACAGAGTAGTAAAACGCTGTTCGTTGGGTAGCTAGAGCTCCACCCAGCAACCATGCCGCAGACGTTTGGAGGGTGTGCACACAGCTGCAACAAGCACACTGGCACAAGAATCGGTTTCTAGCAGTGTCACATCTCCCATGAGGTCCTCTGGCATCAGCGCCCCGTGATGCACGGCCATGCCATCGTCGGCAAAGGCCATCCCATCCGCCTGCCAACGCAGGGCAAATGATTGCAAAAGTACAACTAAGGTTGCGTTCGCACTTTCCGAACCGGGCCCTTGCTGTGCAGTGCAATAGCCGCTGGAAGGAAGCTTCATCTGTACGCACGTACAGGAGCCTGGAGCATGCAGCCGTCCTGAAGGTGTCGGAGCTGCGACATATGATTTTGTCGAGCACTCGCTGCTGGTCTTCGCAACACCCTGGAATTATCGCAGCGTTGCTCTTGCTTCGCATACCGCCACAAAGACACATGCTGTCAAGGAGAGGAGAGAACTCTTGAATCCTTCGATTCGACTTCGGCGCCGCACAATGGTTTCACTAAAGCTTGCTTCGAGAAGTGTTCCGAGCGCACAATGCCCTGACTTACACAGGGTCATGCGTAGCAATGCTGATTCTTGACAGGGAAAACTTCACGCCGAATGTTTCTTCAGATACCCGAAGAAAGAATGAATCAACCGGACAGCCGTCCAAGATCAAGATGAGGGTAAAGACGACCCGGATCAAGAGGGGGATCAAGAGGATGATGCGAATAATGACTGAGTTGCGACCATGATGATGATGATGATGACGACAGTTGATGAAGGGTGGTGATGATGATGATGATGATGGCGATGGTGATGCTGAGGCTGATGATGACGGTTATGATGGTGACGGGGTCGATGATAATCATGACGATGATGATGATGATGAGATGAAGGAGAGGATGATGATGGTGATGGGGGTCGATGATTATCAAGATGATGAGGAGGACGAAGAAAATGAAGATGAAGATGAAGAAGAAGAAGATGATGATGATCATGACCATCATCATCATCATGATCCTCATCATGGTGATGATCATGATGACGGTGAAGAAGATGATGATAATGGTGTCGATGATGACCATGTTGATGATGATGATGATGAGGAGGATGATGATGAGGATGAGGAGGACAGCGACGGATGACGACGCCCCAGCTAGCAGCTAGCATTTCATCCGGCGTCTGCTGCTGCTGCTGCCGCCGCCGCTGCCGCTGCGTGGCTACTGCTACGTGGCTAGTGCTACACTGCGACGGCTACCCCGCTATTGCTACGCTGCTCCTGCTGCAGCAGTCACACTCGGTCATTGTCACGACCGCTCTATCAACAGCATCATCGTCGAAATCATAAACTCCTCATTCCTATGAGCGTTGGCACATAGCACTGTGCACAGGAGTCCCAAACCCGATGCCCAAAACCCTAAAACCCTAAAACTCTGAGCCCTGCACGCCTCGCAACACCAAACCGCAAGCCCGTGCGTCCTCGGACAGCATCGAACCATGGCCAGCCATGGCATCCTGAAGCTGACGAGAGCCAAACAACTTGGGGCCGAGGGCTCAATGCGACTCCCCCACCTTTTCAAGTCCGAGCCACTGAAGCCCTCAAATCTCAAACCCCCACTCTAAGATTAGGCTCCGGGCCATGCAGACGCCATCCATCTCCATGAGGTGCACGTGCCTTCAGAGCTTCTTCGGCTTTCACTGCCGGAAAGCAGGAGCCCAGTAGTTTCTGCTTCCAAGCCCTGTGCCCAGGTCATAAAGGACGGACTTCCCAAGGATTCTTCGAGTCAGCGAGATATCGCGAGAACACTTAAACTTCGGGGGGAAAAAACATTGAGGCTGAAGAAGCTCCTGCGTGAACATATACGTTTCCAAGGCCCTTCGAGGTTCCGCATGCCAGGAAACTGACTGAAAGAACACAGAATGTCGGCACTGGCTCTCAGAGCCAGGCGAGTTCGGCATCGCCGGGTACGCAGGGTAAAAGGCCTGCACCACAGCAGAGGCTGCTCGTCCGGATCACTGGTTTCATAGCAGTGCTCCGAGCACGAGAGCCTACCAGCGCTCGGTTCTGGCATGGCCTCAGGCTGGTAAGCCTCCTCTGTCCACTCAAGCTCTGCGACGAGTGGATGGACCTGCCGCAGACTTCTTGGGAGACACTGTGAGTGTTTCGTGCAAAAGCAGAGGAGCGCGGGTATATACAAGGTCGTAAGGAGAGCCATCTCCCTGTTTTCCTCGCCTCCACGGCACGAAAGCTTATCCGCTTATTTTCCAGAGCTGCTGTGCAGAAGACAAACTGCAAACTGCTTATACAGCCGGTATCCTTCACAGGTGTTGAGGTTTGCCACAGAAAGTTGTGCCTCCGACCAGGGCACCGACCAGGCATCGCCTGCAGGCAGACCTCAATTGTCAGAGGTTGAGTTCAAGATTTGGGTGTGGGCTCGCTCTCCCCATGCAGTAGCAGGGCCTACATCCCAAATGTACCAAGGTGAAACTCTGAAGCCTCTCGGTACAACCCCATCTATCCCCTTCCCCTGAACCCTGAAGCCCGACGTCGCAGAGGCTACGGGCTTCGGAAGGGTGGGAGATTGTGCTTTGGGGTGCGATCCTCCGGCGGCAAATTCCTACACTGTGTGGAGTAAGGCCAAGCACATTGGCCTGCCCATGCGTCGGCAGAAGGCTGTTGCCTTCAGCTGGAGAAAATTCCCAAACTGCGCACCCCTGGTCCCGACAAAAACCTGCAGAAAGCGGGTGTACAACATGCAGAGGCCGCCCGCCTGTCTTGCCTGTGCGTCCAGTTGCTTGAAAACTCGCCTTCCAGAACGAATGAGATCCGGCAGTCCCAGAGCAGAGTGCTTGAGGGTTGGTTCGGCAAGGCCGTGTCTGCAGTCAGAAATTCTCGCCACAGCTGTTTCTATGCCGCGATTGCAAAGCCTAGTCTAAGATTTCAATGTCAAGGACAGCAAGGCTGCCACCTTTCTGCCGGTCCCCCATCCGGCCTTTGTCAACTGGACGAGGTGCTGTGTCCCTGACATCTTTCAGCATTGCTTCAGCCGGATGCAGTCAGCTTGCAGCACGGGTTGTCACTGGAACACCGTGGCATTGGCGGATTCAGCTTTGATGGGGAGCACTAAGGTCAAAGGGCTTCACTGCTACAGGAAGTGTTGTCTGCAAGAAGGTACGTCAAAACGGTCTGACAACTTGGCTGCCCTCTGGTGTGCATGTTTCTCACATTGCACGGGAAGATGCTGTTGTTTCGTCGTTGGCAGTGTCTGAGGTAGTTCAAAAATCTAACAATGGTTCTGCCGCAGTTGCTGTGGCGGTTGTGGTCGCGGCCGTTCTCATGGCCGTCGCAGACACTGGCTGCAGGGATGCTTGTCCTTCTGGTGCCGGCTGTGATGATGGTGTCTTGCTCGTAAGAGTGACCCAGGATACTGACGATGAGGATGACCACGGTAGTGACCCTAGCGGCCGTAGCGGCAGTCATGGCAATGAGGGTGATGATGTTCATGACGCTGTTGATGACGATGATGGTGATGATGATGATGATGATGATAAAAATGACGACGGTGATGATGATGATGATGATGACGATGATGATGATGATGATGGTTATGATAATAAAAATGACGATGGTGATGATGATGTTGTGTTGATGTTGATGTTGCTATTGATGGTGATGATGATGAGGATGATGATGAGGAGGATGAGGATGATGATGACGACGATGATGAGGAGGAGGAGGACGAGAATGATGATGTTGACGACGATGATGATGATGATGATGATAGTGATGATGGTGATGATGGTGATGATGGTGATGATGGTGATGATGGTGATGATGGTGATGATGATCTCGATGATGACTATGAGGATGATGATGATGGTGGTGGTGGTGGTGAGGAGGAGGACGAGGAGGAGGATGAGGATGATGAGCATGATGTGGATGCTGAGGATGATCAACATGATGAGGATGGTGAGGATGATGAGGATGGTGAGGATGGTGATGGTGCTGGTCCTGCTCATGGTGTCGAACAGGAGGAAAAAGGAGTAGTAGGAGGAGGAGTAGTAGGAGCGGGAGGAGCAGGAGGACGACGGCGGTCCAAAGATGCTGATCATGATTCCGTATGATGGTGATGTCGGTTCTGACGATGACAGCGAGGGAGGAGAAAAGAGAAGCCAAAGGTGGAGCAGGAGGACAAGAGAAGAAGGGAGAGGAGTCTCGAAAGCAACCTTGCGATCATTATCCCCCGGCCTGAATTCATGCACTGCTGCTTTGGCCGGCTGGGCCGCAGCTTTAGATTCACCTTCGTATGCACGTCTGAAACGAGTTTGACTGCTTTCTCGAGTTCTTAATGAGGGAGGACACAGACTAGATGTCTCAGGGCATTGCTGCCAAGTACGGAAAAATTAAGTACATTCCGGCAAGTACTGCTGAAGACCTTGTTTGCAACGCTGGGCGGATCCACAAAGGAAGGAAATGCAAAAGAACGTTGGTACTGCTGCTCTGGCAACCCTGTGCCACAAACTGAGCAACAAGAACCGCAACAAAAAGTACCAGTGTTGGCACAGCCAACAGCGCTAAAAATCGAAACTAGAATGGCAGAAATTGACAGTAGCAGTAGTAGTTGTTGTTGTTGTCGTCGTCATACTAGTACTAGTACTAGCACTAGTGCTAATACTAGCACTAGTGCTAGTAGTGCTAGCGGTAGCAGAAGTAGCAGAAGTAGGAGCAGTAGGAGCAGTAGTGGTGGTGGTAGTAGTAGCAGTAGTAGTAGTACTAGTAGTAGTAGTAGTACTAGTAGTAGTAGTAGTAGTAGTAGTAGTAGTAGTACTAGTAGTAGTAGTAGTAGTAGTAGTAGGTGGTGGTGGTGGTGGTAG